TACCTTACATCGGTAGAAACTATATATGGGAGCTATATCTAAATCTGAACCGATTTTCTCGAAACTTGGCAAACATCATTCTGGACCTAATTCAGTACTCTGTGCCAAATTTCATGCAAATCGAAAGATACAGAGGGACTTTGGTGCCACATTTACCTTAAATCGGACGAAACTATATATGGGAGCTATATCTAAATCTGATCCGATTTTCTCGGAATTTGGCACAGATCATTTTAGACTTAACTCAGTACGCTGTACCGAAATTCGTGCAAATGGGATGATTTTCAGGGACTAAAGTCCTCAAATCGGACAAAAATATATATGGGAGCTATATCTAAATCTGAACCGATTTTTCCCAATTTCAATAGGGTTCGTCCTTGGGCCAAATAAATGAGCTGTGCCAAATTTCAGCCAAATCGGATTATAAATGCGACCTGTACTTTGTTTACAATTTAACATCAACAGACGGACGGACATGCATAAATCGACTCAGAAAGTGATTCTATGCATATTCTCAAAAGGAACCATGGGTCTATCTCGATTCCTTTTGCCTGTTACAAACATATGCACAAAGACATAATACCCTGTACCACAGTGTGGTGAAGGGTATAAAAATCATATGAAAAATTAAAAATTCAAAGGTTCTTCAGAAAATATCTCAATCGGAAATAGTAATATTAGATTACTTATATAAATGGCGCCCAACGTAGGATACGAGAAGTTCCAATGGGATAAATTCCAAGATTTATCAAATGTATTTAAATGGTCTTCTGAAGTCTAGAGCAAGGCTTATAATAAATTCGCCTGAAAACAAAGTTCCAATGGTCTTCTGATGTCTAGAGCAAGGCCTATAAAAAATTCGCCTGAAAACAAAGTTCCAATATGTGTCATCAAGGAGGCGTTTTTGGAACAAATTGTCTAGTAGAAAGTCCGGCTCGAGAAATTCATAGAAATATAATTTAATGCACATAATGAAATATTTTCTGCCCAAAGTGAATCAATAGAAATTTGAATACTCAAAACGCACATGTACATAGTGGAGAAACATGAAGGCCATTACGGTGTTAAAAAAATTGCCATGGAAAATCTTAACTAATAAATGCCGTCCCAAACCCATGGGCAATGTGAGAACTTCATACGATGCCCATAATATTTTTTGAGTTAAAATTACGGAATATTTAAGATATGGATAACCAGCATAACCAATACAATGACAGATATTTAGCGCCCAACGTTTAGAAGGAAATTTCAGAACATTTTATGGTCGATAGAGAAAATTTACAAATAGTGAAAGAAATAGAATCATAAATGATTTATGGCGTTAAAACACCTAGACATATAAAACCTTTAACATTTGTCTTATTTTTCCTTTTCCGCATTCTATAATCTTCGCACAAAAAAAACAAAAGAACAGATTTTTCGAGGAGAATCCTAAAAAGGATAGATTGAAGCCAGCTCGAATATCGAAATGAAAAATAAAAAATTTAAATTTGGCACCCAATGGCAAATTTCATATAATTCTTACATATGGATAGACGACAAAGAGGTTATGGTAGATGATAAGCAAGCATTACATAAATTGTCGCCCAACGTGACATGTATTCCGGACCTTCACATATTTTGTAGGAAATTACCAGAGTAAAAAAAAATGACAGTTGGCGCCCAGAGTGACGCGTTCACTTAAACACTTTGCACATTTCTTTGGAATATATCAGAGGAATGTTAAAGATCGATTCATCAATCTGGGTAAGAATAAGGGTTTTCCGCTTTGTAAGATTTAAAAAATAGAACGTGATATGTTCCAATCAGCACCATACACGTTTTATTTGGATATTACTGAGGGATAGAATAGATTGCCGGTATCCATAGAAAAATAAGTCGACATGAAAAATCAAAGATGATAATTGGCGGCCGAGACGACTGTCAGTACTTTAAATGTTATTTTCTTCGAAATTTATAGATGAATATTAAAGTTCGATTGTCTCAAAAAAAAAAAAAAAAAATAATGTTGGCGCCCAACGTTTACATCAGCGTATTACATATTTATTGGAATTAATTGGATGAATTCTAATGTTATATTGACGATAAGAAAGTTGTAGTATAGAACTTATTCTATCCAGTTCGGGCCCGAAATAAAATCAAAATGAAAAAGGAATATGGCGCCCAACGTAAGATATTTTTATAAACACTTAATACATTTTTTTTGGAATTTAATTAATAAGTCAACTAATAATGATTCAGTTTATCCAACTTTCAAAAAAGCGACATGAAACATTAGAAATAGAAATTGGCGCCCACGATGACATGTTCATATGAACATTTTAAAAATATATTGAGATTTATCGGAAGTTAAAATTTGATAATACGGTACTTGTGGCGCCTAATGCACACAGCGTCCAAAAAATTTGATGAATGATAAATGAAAATTGATGATAAATGTATTGTGGCGCCCAACGTATTTATACCGTTGTTCACTTTTAATATATTTGGGTAATATTGAATAGAACTGTTATCCGGATTGGTTTCTGATTAGAAACAAAACTTAAGACCTGCAAATATTTAAGCGTAGAATAAGCAAAGCCTATTTTTATTGTATTTTTTTCATGGAGCCTCACAAATCGTGGAGTTTTCAAGGGCGTAGATTATTTAAAGAATATTTTTCATGGAACCCCAAAAGAAGTGGAGTTTTAAGGATGTCACCCTCCTGAACGTGGATTTTTAAAGAATTTTTTTAAGGAGACTAATTTTTAATGGTGGAATTTTAAAGGAGGAGCAGAATAGTTTTTCATGGATTCTTACAAGAAGTGGAGTTTGGACTCGAAGAAGGCTGATAAGTCGCTGATTCCGTAAGGAAAATTTTTATGTAGGTTTACATGTGGGGGACTTTATAATGAATATTTGAAAGAAGGCTCACAAGGCGTTGAGTTTTGGAAAACAAATTTTTTCATGGAGCTCCTCATGACGTGGACGTTTTTACCGAATATTTAACAGCAGATTCACATAGCATGGACTTCTTGAAGAATATTTTTTATTGGCCATAAAAATGCGTGGACTTCTTGAAGAATATTTTAAAGGAGGTTCGCGTGGCGTGGAATTCTTAAAGGATTTTTTTTTTTAAATGGTGGCACTTATGGAGTGGAATTTTCTAAAGGAGCCGCACATGACGTGGACTTTTGAAGGAGGTTCACAAGGCGTCGTCAAATTGTAGAAGACTTTTAATGGAGTCTGCTATGGATTACGAATCGTGGATTGTTAAAAGAATATTTTTTTAAGCTCCGAACATGTCCTTAATTTTTAAAGAATTATTATTGTGGATTTTTAAATTAGAAAAAAGTATCCCTCTTAAAATACCAGAAGTATTTTAAAATTTTCCAGGGTTCCACAATGATTGAAATACTTAATAAATTTGTTCCTAGGTTATTAGAAAGTTTGGAAGGATTTTAGATTTAAGAAAATTGTCCCTGTGTCGCACATGACTTGAAATAGGTACAACATTTTTTTCAGGTCTCGTAACGCTTGGAGATTTTGTTCATAGGCATAGATTTTTAAAGATTTTTTTGTCAATGGTCATACAAGGCTTTTAAAATTTAACGAATTTTTTACAAACACCTTTCAGGGTCCCTTAAGGCTAAAAATATTTAAAAATACTTTCTCGAGGTTTCATGAGACCGGGAAAATTTCAAACAATTTGTGGCCAGAGTCCCACAAGGATATTTTTTTTTCAGTTTTTTTTTTAAGATCCCATAAGTCTAAGAAAAAATGTTCATGATGCTACACGGTTTAGGGTATTTACAGAGTTTTATTCAAACTTCCAACAGAGGGCTAGATTTCTTAAATAATTTTTAAGCTCCGAACAAGGAGCCAAGCCCCTTTTATCTTTTGAAAACATTTTTTCTGGATCCCACATGCCTCAATAAGGTTTCGTATATTAAAAAATAATTTCCTCGGTGCCACGAGGCTTGATAATTTCCAAAACATTTTTCCAAGGTCCAACAGGGCTGGGATTTTTTAATTTTCCGAGTTCTACAAGTCTTAATGATATTTACAACATTTCAAGCGCCCAACAGGGGCTTTGCTCATTTGAAGATCAATTAAAGCCTTTAACTAGACTTTGAAGGTTTAGTGATTTTTGTTTCCTGCCTCAATAACACTTGAATTATTTAAAAATATTTTCCCAGGGTCCTATATGGTTTGAATATTTTAAAGAAATTGTTGCTAGGGTTTCAACCCTTTGGCGATTTAAAGAATTTGTTCCCGGGGTCAAACATGGCTCCATAAGGTTTTAAATATAAAAAAATAATTCTTCGGTATCCCACAAGGTCCCACAACACTAAAGAAGTTTCCGTGGTCCCACAAATCCTTAAATACTTCCAAAATTTTTTACCAAGGATTCGATTTCTGTTATTTAATTTTCAGTGTTTGGGTTCCACAAGTCTTTGGGCATTTACAGGACTTTGTTCGAGAGACTCAATGATTTTTCAAAGGGGTTTTTAAGACATTAGCAAATTTTTGAAGTTTGTCAAGAATATTTATCCCGATTCCATAAGACCTGGATTATGAAAAAATATTTTCACACAATTCCACAAGGTCTAGAATATTAAAAAAAGACTTTGCAGAATTTTTCTTTGATCAGGTTTCACATGATTTCATAGGGCTTCGAATATTTATAAATATTTTCATTCGTGCCTTGTGGGATTCTGATGATGCTTAGAATAAAAAGTGATTACGAGATTTGAATTATTTTCAGAAAAATTTTCAAGGTCCCATAAGGCCTCGACATTTTAAAAATTTCCCGAGTCTCCCAAGGCTGTGATTATTGATAAAGTTTAGAAGTTGAAACAAAAAAATATTCCCAGGGCCCTACAGGACTTTTAATTTTTTTTTCTAGAGCGCTCCAAGGTCTATAAAATTTGCAGAAATTTTGTGGGGAAATATTTAAAGATTTGTTCCGAAGGGGTCACTAAATATTCGTTTCTCCTCAAATATTTCCCTCAACCTCCTTAAACCTGTGTCCTTTTCATTGTACGCGTTGTTGGATGTGTCTGCTGCGACAACAGTGTCCCGCTAACCTTTTTCATATCCCTTACAATTTTACATTCCTCCGCCAGTATTTCCTTTGCCGATAACTTACGCTCTTTTTGATGTCCTATGGACGATAATTCAATATCACTGCCATCACTATCATCCGCAAATTGTATATCCGAAGTATAGTTTTGTAAATCACTTGGTGATTTAACAACCGATGTTTCCTTTTCGATATACGACCCGTTCATAGAATCCGTCTCCAAAATGGTACCCGTTTCCATGGGTTGGTTTGGGTGATTTTCTTGGTGTTGCAGCACCAAATTGCGTGCCGATTTGGTACAATTTAACTCCTTCAGGGGTATACTCTCTTCTTCGGCGGGGTCATGATGCCCTAGCGACATTGTCGATTTCGATTGCTGCCGCTGATGTTTACGTTTCTTACGCGATAGATATGGTGTCGATTGTTTGGAGGGTGAATTTTGTGAATTCGAAGAAATTGCCTTGCGTATGAGGCAATTTTTCAAATCTGTTTCGGAGGGTGTTGTCGCTTTGGAGTGATAGTTACTATTCAGCGGGGATAATTCATCTGATATGGGACTGGTATTGGTGGTGGTATTATTACTCGAGTTCGTATTACTATGCGGACTAAGATAGTGTCCATATTTTGGCATTTTAATATCTTCGTAGAGAGGATGATTTTCATCCGGTATTGGTTCGGGGGTTTTATCATCATCTTCCCGCTCCGGGGAATCGGGTATATCATCAAAGGGTGGTATCCATATTAAATAGGCTGGATCCATACCCAAATATGAACCGGGAGCCGCACCGGCATTTGTTACATTGTAGTCATAATAGTCCAGCTCGAAGTCCTCCTGATTTCCCAGAGAGAATTCTGATCCCGGGCGGGCCAACAACTTCTTGCGATTTTGTTTCTCCTTGCTCTCCTTGGCATTTGTGCTGCGTATGGTGGCGGAGCTAATGATGCTCGAGGCAGGAGAATAGCAGCCCTAGAAAGATAAAAAAGAAACGAATTAAAAATCTCGACCCTCCCCTTTACCTCTTCCGCACCCACTTACATTTGTCAAATTTACCGAACAGCATCGTGGATTCATTCTCTGATGCTGTTGCTGCTGATGAACAATAATCGATTTCAGTGACTCACAATCGGTTTTCTCTTCCATATAGGAATTGGTCATTTTCAGGGTGGCAGCATCATAGCGTTCGGAATATTTACTACTACGCTTCGTATTCATGGGTGGGCTCTGGCAGATCGATGACATTCCCGATGAGATAATACTTTCGGAATCTTTAGCGCTATCCTTACGCTTCAGTGTGGCATTACGTGGATCATTTTCGTCCTCATCGGCCTCATTACCAATTGAACACTCACTGGCGGTACGCTGCACCAAGCCGCCTTCAGTGGAGGGAGTGCGACTCATAGATTCGGTGGTTGGTGATATGATTTCATTGCGCAAGGTGCTAATCGAAACATTGCTGCCGAGTTCATCGACACTAAAAAAGAAAGAAAAGAGGGGGAGGGGATAAGTCAGGAGGCTAAGGATTATAAGAAGTTCGAAAAATTTTTTTTTAAGAGACCAAGCCTAATAAGAAGTTCGGCAAAAATTTTTTTTTAAATTCACGCCTAATAAGAAGTTCGAAAATATTTTTAGAAGTTCGAAAAATATTTTTTAAAAATCCACGCCTAATAAGTAGTTCGAAAAAGATTTTAGAAGTTCGAAAAATCCACGCTTAATAAGAAGTTCGAAAAAGATTTTTTTTTAAATCTACGCCTAATAAGAAGTTCGAAAAATATTTTTAGAAGTTCGAAAAATATTTTTAGAAGTTCGAAAAATATTTTTGAAAAATCACGCCTAATAAAAAGTTCGAAAATTATTTTTAGAAGTTCGAAAAAATATTCTTTTAAAAAATCCACGTCTTATTAGAAGTTCGAAAAATATTTTTTTAAAAATCTACGCCTAATAAGAAGTTCGAAAAATATTTTTAAAAGTTCAAAAAATATTTTTTTAAAAATCTACACCTAATAAGAAGTTCGAAAAATATTTTTAGAAGTTCGAAAAATATTTTTTAAAAAATCTACGCCAATGCGAAGTCCCGAGAATTTTTTTTTTAAAATCTACGCCCATGCGAAGTCCCGAAAAATATTTTTTAAAAAATCCACGCCTTAAAGGAAGTTCGAAAAATATTTTTAAAAAATCCACGCCTTAAAGGAAGTTCGAAAAATATTTTTTTTAAAAATCCACACCTAATAAAAAGATCAAAAATAATTTTTAGAAGTTCGAAAAATATTTTTTAAAAAATCCACGCCTAATAAGAAGTTCCAAAACTATTTTTTACTAGTTCGAAAAATATTTTTTTTTAAAAAATCCACGCCCAATAAGAAGTTCGAAAACTTAGAAGTTTGAAAAAATATTTTTTAAAAAATCCACGCCTTATAAAAAGTTCGAAAAATATTTTTAGAAGTTCAAAAAATATTTTTTTAAAAACCACGCCTAATAAAATGTTCGAAAATTATAGAAGTTTGAAAAAATATTCTTTTAAAAAATCCACGTCTTATTAGAAGTTCGAAAAATATTTTTGGAAGTTCGAAGATTATTTTTTTAAATATTCACGCCTAATAAGAAGATCGAAAATTATTTTTAGAAGTTCGAAAAATAATTTTTTAAAAATCCACGCCATGTGGTAGGCCCTAACAAATATTTCTTTTAAAAATCCACGCCATGTGGTAGGCCCTAAAAAATATTTCTTTTAAAAATCCACGCCTTATAAGAAGTTCGAAAAATAATTTTTTAAAAATCCACGCCTAATAAGAAGTTCGAAAAATATTTTTTTTTAAATCCAAGCCTAATAAAAAGTTCGAAAATTATTTTCAGAAGTTCGAAAAATATTTTTGTAAAAATTCGCGCCTAATAAGAAGTTCGAAAAATATTTTTAGAAGTTCGATTTTTTTTAATCCACGCTTAATGGGAATTTCGAAAAATATTTTTAGAAGTTCGAAAAATATTTTTTTAAAAATCCATGCCTAATAAAAAGTTCGAAAAATATTTTTAGAAGTTCGAAATTTTTTTTTAATTCCAGGTCTAATAAGAATTTCGAAAAATATTTTTTAAAAAATCCACGACTTATTAGAAGTTCGAAAATTATTTTTAGAAGTTCGAAAAATATTTTTTTTAAATCCACGCCTAATAAAAAGTTCGAAACATATTTTTAGAAGTTCGAAAAATATTTTTGTAAAAATCCACGCCTAATTAGAAGTTCGAAAAGTATTTTAGTCCTCTCAAAAAGTCCTCCTTCTTACCTATTTATCGTCGGTTCCTTTATGACAGACTCCTTCATTTCTGTCTCTCGGGCCAAATTTTCCGCATCGACACTCTCCCTTAAAATCGAATGCCTTAGCTGATGTTTCGGTCGCATTTTAACCATATAAATAACTTCGGAAATCAAAGTTGTGGTCGATATGGCTCTCGAAGGTGGGCTGGCCAGAGAATTCATTGAAGCACTGGGTGTATGGAGCCGAGAACCTTCATCTCGCCGCTTGGCAATGGCCAAGTGATATTTACGATAGCGAACAACATATTGGGCACCTGGAGGAAGAGAAGAAAAAATTCAACATTTTTCCTTCGAATATTTGAGTTCCGCCTCGGAATATTTAAGTTCCGCCTCTGCTTACTTACCCAGTAAAGCACTGATGAGTATTATGATGCTGGCAAAAACAATCGCACTCAAGTGGACCAGGGTAAATTTCGACTTCATTTTGGGCTTCTGCAGAAATGCCCGACTTTTGATGGTCAGGCCCGTGGCGGCAATTACCGGTTTATTTAATGCGCCCGAAGAATTTTTAGCTACAAAACAAAAATGCGACAATTTAATAAATCCCCATAGAAGAAGATGCCGAACAAAAAATCATTACTCACCAATTTGTTCAATGTTGGCCAAAAAACCACCCGTACATATTAGGCCCGTATGGATTTCAGTATTGTTCGCAATGCTGCCTCCGCTGCCATCCTCACCGGCAAAAAATTCCAATAATAATTGAGCTCCACTGGATTCCACAAAAACAGGTAAATTGCCATTACCCTGGGATGTGGTCGACGTAGCCGAGTTACTGGTCCCAGCAACCCCCACATTGCCACCAACACCTCCGCTACCACCCTGCAACTCTATCAACAAAGTTGAGGATAATGATGGACCATCACGTATTTTGATGTATTGTGTGGCACAAGGCAAACGTAGAAAGCTCAACTGCAGGGTAATAGTCTCTTCGCCATCAACCTGAAAATGAAGAGGAGAAGAGGGAATGGGGTGAGAAAGATTCGTAAAAACACATGTGAATGAATATCGGATGAATGTTAGCAAAAGGTGTGGAGATTTTTTCTGTTTTGTTTTTTTTTTTTTCATTGCAGTGCGTTGTTGCCCAATCACTATCCCGCATTGACTAGGCCTTTTCCCAGATGGGGGGTACCCAACAACAACAATGAGTGGCAAACCTGGCCGTTTGCTGTGCTGTTGACGATATGTGTGCGGGACCATTGTATTTGGCTATGCAGTCGATATCATTTCAATATTGAATTCATCATTCATAATGTGTGTACACATCCTTTGTTTGTCTATCGCATGGCAGAGGATACCGGCTTAATGAGGATAACCCATTAAGGGACCGAGAGAAAAATAATTTAAAAAAATTCAAAAACTTGAAAAAAATACTTAAAATTTTCACGTTCGAAAAATAATTTTTTAAAAAATCCACGCCTTGTTGGAAGTTCGAAAAATATTTTTTTAAAAATCCACGCCTTGATTGGATCTCGAAAAATATTTTTTTAAAAATCCACGCCTTGATTGGATCTCGAAAAATATTTTTTTAAAAATCCACGCCTTGATTGGATCTCGAAAAATATTTTTTTAAAAATCCACGCCTTGATTGGATCTCGAAAAATAATTTTTTAAAAAATCCACGCCTTGTTGGAAGTTCGAAAAATATTTTTTTAAAAAATCCACGCCTTGTTGGAAGTTCGAAAAATAATTTTTTAAAAAATCCACGCCTTGTTGGAAGTTCGAAAAATAATTTTTTAAAAAATCCACGCCTTGTTGGAAGTTCGAAAAATAATTTTTTAAAAAATCCACGCCTTGTTCGAAAAATAATTTTTTAAAAAATCCACGCCTTGTTCGAAAAATAATTTTTTTAAAAAATAAACGCCTTGTTCGAAAAATAATTTTTTAAAAAATCCACGCCTTGTTCGAAAAATAATTTTTTAAAAAATCCACGCCTTGTTCGAAAAATAATTTTTTAAAAAATCCACGCCTTGTTCGAAAAATAATTTTTTAAAAAATCCACGCCTTGTTCGAAAAATAATTTTTTTAAAAATCCACGCCTTGTTCGAAAAATAATTTTTTTAAAAATCCACGCCTTGTTCGAAAAATAATTTTTTAAAAAATCTACGCCTTGTTCGAAAAATAATTTTTTAAAAAATCCACGCCTTGTTCGAAAAATAATTTTTTAAAAAATCCACGCCTTGTTCGAAAAATAATTTTTTAAAAAATCCACGCCTTGTTCGAAAAATAATTTTTTAAAAAATCCACGCCTTGTTCGAAAAATAATTTTTTAAAAAATCCACGCCTTGTTCGAAAAATAATTTTTTAAAAAATCCACGCCTCTTGCGAAAAATAATTTTTTAAAAAAATCCACGCCTTGTTCGAAAAATAATTTTTTAAAAAATCCACGCCTTGTTCGAAAAATAATTTTTTAAAAAATCCACGCCTTGTTCGAAAAATATTTTTTTAAAAAATCCACGCCTTGTTCGAAAAATAATTTTTTAAAAAATCCACGCCTTGTTGGAAGTTCGAAAAATAATTTTTTAAAAAATCCACGCCTTGTTGGAAGTTCGAAAAATAATTTTTTAAAAAGTCCACGCCTTGTTGGAAGTTCGAAAAATAATTATTTAAAAAATCCACGCCTTGTTGGATGTTCGAAAAATATTTTTTTGAAAAATCCACGCCTTGTTGGAAGTTCGAAAAATATTTTTTTAAAAAATCCACGCCTTATGTAGGTCCATGAAAAAATATTTTAAAAAATCCACGCCTTAAAAATCTAGGCCTTATGCAGGTCCATGAAAAAATATTTTAAAAAATCTACGCCTTATGTAGGTCCATGAAAAATATTTTTTTTAAAAATCCACGCCTTTTGTAGGTCCACGAAGAAATATTTTTTTTAAAAAATGCACGCCTAAAAAACCTACGCCTTATGGAGGTCCATGAAAAAATATTTTAAAAAATCCACGCCTTAATAATATCCGCCTTATGTAGGTCCTTGAAAAAAATATTTTAAAAATCTATGCCTTGTTCGTTCCTGATCGAATTTGGTGTACTACAGCGTATAAGTGATGACATTCATCATACGCTCAGTGGTACGTAATGTACTAACATTTATTTCTTCTATAAAATAAGCGGAAACTGGAGGAGATTTTATAAAAAATATATATATATTTTCCGCACATCGGCGATATTTTAAATTTTTAAAAATGTATTTTCCTCATCGGCGACCCCTGGGTTAATCATAAATGTACAACAAAAATCAATTTAAAATCACGTGTGAAATACCTATCTATCTATAGCTCACAAAGTTCGTTGACGAAGATTTAAACTCAGCTGCTGCTATGGCTGAGGTGTTTTAATGCCGATTTCACTCGAACAATGGCTACAAAAACGAAACAAAAAATAACTATTTATGATGCGAAAAGTCTGTTTGGATGTGAAGGAGATTAATGTGTGGCAGCAGCAACTATCCTTGGTAGAGAAATTAAATGCCGAACAATTTAATTTAGGAACTAAGAGCACTTTAATATCTTTAAATTAAATTTAATTTAAAAGTCTCAGACTTTTGTTTACCTTCGAAAAATATTTTTACACAATTCTCAGACAAAATTTCTATAAAACGATTTTTTAATTGGCGTATGATTGACGTCATGCACCATACGCTAGGTGGTCCGTTGGCATGCAACATTGATGACATGCAACATACGCTCTGTGGTCCATATAGTGTTTACTTTGTGTTAGGTCCAGAAACACATTATGCCTTCTATTGTGTTAGGTCCTTAAAAATATTTAAAAAAAAAAAATCACGCCACTTCAAGCACCCTGAAAATATGTAAAAAAAAACCTACGACTTGTATAGGACCTTAAAACATTTCTTTAACAAATCTACACCTTCTATAGGCTCCGAAAAAAATAAGTTTTAAAAAATCCAGGCTCCATAAGTTCCCTACACAAATTTAATACAAAATTTATATAAAAAGATTTTTTTAATTGGCGTATGAGTGACGTCATGCACCATACGCTAGGTGCATGACAACGGACCACCTAGCGTATGGTGCATATGATTGATGACATACAACATATGCTCTGTGGTCCGTATAGTGTTTACTTTGTGTTAGACTCTTAAAAAATATTTTTAAAACCAGTATGGAAAGTAGTAAAGTCGGACTGGGACGACTATATGATAACCTTCACCACTTTGGGTATATTCTACATATGTCTCCTAACAGACTTCGCCTTTTCGAAAGAACATTGACATGATATAATATATCTAAATCTGAACCGATGTTTCCGAACCTCGCCACTCATCATTCTAGGCTTAATTCAGTACGTTATGCCAAATTTCGGGCAAATCGAAAGGTATATAGGGACTTTGGTACACCATTTACCTAAAATCGGACGAAAATATATATGGGACATATATCTAAATATAAACCGATTTTCACGAAACTCAGCACACATCATTCTTGACTTAATTGAGTACGCTATGCCAAATTTCCTGCAAATCGAAAGATATTTGGGACTTTGATGCACCATTTACTTTAAATCAGACGAAAATAAATATGGGACCTATATCTAAATCTAAACCGATTTTTCCGAAACTCGCCACTTATCATTCTAGACATAATTCAGTACAATGTGCCAAATTTCGTGCAAATCGAAAGATATTTAAAGACTTTGGTGCACCATTTACCTTAAATCGGACGAAAATTTATATGAGAGCTATATCTAAATCCGAACCGATTTTCACGAAACTTAGCACACATCATTCTAGGCTTAATTCAGTACGCTGTGCCAAATTTCGACAACATCGAAAGATATTTAGGGACTTTGGTGGACCATTTACTTTAAATCAGACGAAAATATATATGGGAGCTATATCTAAATCGGGACCGATTTTCACGAAATTTTACACATATCGTTCTAGACTTAATTCAGTACGTTATGCCAAATTTCGTGAAAATCAACGGGTCTTTAGTGCACCATTTACCTAAAATCGGACGAAAATATATATGCGAGCTATGTCTAAATCTGAACCTATTTTTCCCAATTTCAATAGAGTTCGTCTTTGGGCCAAATAAATGAGCTGCGCCAAATTTCATCCAATTCGAATGAAAAATGCGACCTGTACTTTATTTACAATTCAACATGGAAAGACAAACGGACGGGCAGACGGACATGCATAAATCGTCTCAGAAAGTGATTCTATGCATATTCTCAAAAGGAACCATGTATCTATCTCGTTTCCTTTTGCCTGTTACCACAGTGTGGTGAAGGGTATAAAAATCCACGTCTTATAAGGGACCTTAAAAATAAGTTTTAAAAAATTCTCGCCTTATAGAGGAGCGGAAACATATTTTTGAAAAAATCTACGTCTTGAAAGGTCCATTATATATATTTTTTTAAATCCTCGCCTTATAGAGGACCTTAAAAATATTTTGTAAAAAAATCCAGGCCATCTAAGCGACCTTAAAATTAAGTTTTAATAAATCTAGGCCTTATGGAGGACGTTAAAAATATTTTTTAAAAAAATCTAGGCCTTATGAAGGACCGTAAAAATATCTTTTAAAAAATCTAGGCCTTATGGAGGACCTTACAAATATCTTTTAAAAAATCTAGGCCTTATGGAAGACCTTAAAATTATGTTTTAAAAAATCTAGGCCTTATGGAGGACCTTAAAAATATCTTTTAAAAAATCTAGGCCTTATAGGGGACCTTAAAATATCTTTTAAAAAATCCGCGCCTTAGATAGAACCCTATTTTTTTAAATCCACGCCTTATGGGGAATCATAATAACATTTTTACAAAAACCACGCCTTCTATAGGCCTTTAAATAACATATTTTCAAATGATCCGCACATTGTTTATAGTTCTTAATTCTATGGTGCTCCGTGACGTATGATTGCCGTCACCAGTCATACGCCCGGAGGTCCATATTTAGAATTGCATCAATAATTAATTCC